AACGGTTTCCGATCATAACTAAAGAACCTTAAAAGGCCTAGGAACTCAAACTTGGGTATGGGTGATTGGTCAATGATCCAGTAGATGACCCGTATAGTTTTGGGGTCCAAGGGGTCAATAGGGTCAAGGTCACCATTTGACCTTTTAATTAAAAACGGTTTCTGATCAATAACAAAAGAACCCTTAGGCCTAGGAACTTCAAACTTGGTATGGTGATTGGTTATGAACCAATAAGATAACCCTATTGATTTTGGCGTTAAGGGGTCAAAGGTCAAGGTCACATTGACCTTCTAGGTAAAAAACGGTTTCCGATCAATTAATGAAAGAACCCTTAGGCCTAGGGACTTCAAACTTGAGATGGTGATTGGTCATGATCAGTAAGATGACCCCTAATGATTTTGGGGTCTAGGGTCAAAGGTCAAGGTCACATTGACCTCTTAGGTAAAAAACGGTTTTCCGATCAATAACTAAAGAACCCTTAGGCCTAGGAACTTCAAACTTGGTATGGTGATTGGTCATGACCAGCAGATGAACCCCTAATTGATTTTGGGGTTAAGGGGTTAAAGGGCAAGGTCACATTGACCTTGAAGGTAAAAATGCTTTCCGATCAAAATAACTTAAAGAACCCCTTATTCCTAGGAACTTCAAAACTTGGTATGGTGATTGGTCATGACCAGCAGATGACCTATTGATTTTGGGTTCAAGGGGTCAAAGGTCAAGGTCACATTGACCTGTAGGTAAAAACGGTTTCCGTTCAATTAACTAAAAACGCTTAGGCCCTAGGAACTTCAAACTTTGTGTGATGATTGGTCATGACCAGCAGATGACCCCTATTGAGTTTTAAGGTGAAGGGGTCAAAGGTCAAGGTCACATTGACCTTTTAAGTAAAAACGGTTTCTGATCAATAACTCAAGAACGCTTAGGCCTAGGAACTTCAAACTTGGTATGGTGATTTTGTCATGACCAGCAGATTACTCCTATTGATTTTGGGATCAAGGGGTCAAAGGTCAAGGTCACAATGACCTTGTAAGTAAAAACGGTTTCTGATCAATAACTAAAGAACGCTTCGGCCTAGAAACTTCAAACTTGGCATGGTGATTGGTCATGACCAGCAGATGACCCCTATTGATTTTGGGGTCAAAGGTCAAGGTCACATTGACCTTGTATGTTAAAACGGTTTCCAATCAATAATAAAGAGAACCCTTAGGCCTAAGAACTTCAAACTTGGCATGGTGATTGGTCATGACCAGCAGATGACCCTATTGATTTTGGGGTCAAAGGGGTCAAAGGTCAAGGTCACACATTTGACCTTGTAGGTAAAAACGGTTTCTGATCAATTTACTAAAAAACGCCCTAGGCCTAGGAACTTCAAACTTTGTATGATGATTGGTCGTGACCAGCAGATGACCCCTATTGAGTTTTGGGTCAAGGGGTCAAAGGTCAAGGTCATGACCAGTAGATACTTTATAACCCTTATTAATTGTTTGATCACTGGGTCAGAAGTCATGCATAATAACCTTATCACATGACTAATTGGCTGCTGATAGGGGGCATACATGTTTTACAAACATATCTTGTTTATTTTCCTTTTGATGTGTAGGAAAACCACATGGGTTAGAAGTACACCTTGGTAACTACATATGTCATTATCAACAAGTTTGCAGAAATATGAAATTAAATGCATAGCTTGTTCTTTTATTTATATATGTGTGTTTTTTGTGCTTTTGAGGAACAAAATAAAATCATAGTGTATATAATTATATTTTTAAAGAACAGGAACAAAATGTAAATGGTGCTTCGTATGATGTTTATTTCATGAATGCCAGTAAGATCTTCTATTATATACTTATCAATGAAATATTGATGAAATAAAATGTTTTTTTTTCATTTTCATTAATTTCACAGTATAAATTTATTTTTCACTGCAGTGAAAAATATTTTCTGTATTTTCACTGGTATCTTGCTGGACTTCTTTCTTCTTAATTCAGCTAATACACAATGTAAATGGGGAAGATTTTGTAAGTGTAATGTCAAAAAAGATAAAATTGTATATAATATACAGAAAAATCAAGTTTTTCTATAAATACCAAATTTATTTTCATCTTGTAATATGAAAATTATCATGTTTCACTCATGGCTACCGCCACCCATGAAATATTCATTTTCATACCACTCAATGAAAAATAAATCATGTATTTATAGAAAAAAACTTAAAATATTGTCAATGTAATGCCAGATATAGTACATAGAAAAATCTTATTAATTTTATTAGTATTTTTATGAACAGAAAACTAGATTTCATTGCAGAAAATAAAATTAAAATGTTTGTTGCATATTTGAGTAGTAAATCAAAACCCTGATTCAAAATGATTGAACCTTGTGAGAAATTATTTCCATGTTGACAAACACAAAAACTGCAATAACTTTATGCTGTATTCTATATAGTCAGAATTTGTTTTTTGAGTAATTTTGAATTTCTAAGATATTTCTTTTAGATATTTTTTTAAGTTGCATGCCACCAGATAAGTCAAAATATTTCAAGAAAAACCAAACTTGACAAAAATGGACTTTGATCTTAAGAAAAAAGTAAAAAGATTCAAGATAAAAGTAACAATGTCCATGTTATTTGCGATAAATGACTGATTTTGTAGTATTTCTCACATATTTCTACTGCATTACTAATGCAGATTTCAAGATTTTATTGATAAGTCTTTAGGTCTTCAGCAGGACGGGCTATTTGTGCATATTTTAACCCCTTTCCTGTATAAATTTACATGTTTGCAATGTGTAAATTATTTTATGTTCACTTCACAATATTTTACTTTTTAATACGTTTTTAACATTTTCATGAAAATTACCAGGAATCTGGAGTTATGCTGCTTTAAGGATTTATTTTATTGAACTTTTCATAGCAACAGTGCATTTATATTTCATTTCTTTTTAATTTTTGCATGTTCTCTTGTCTTTCATTGTCAATCTTTTGTATTTTGAAGTTTAACCCTGTCCCCATGGTGCAATAAAATATTGAATATAAGTATTTTGTTATTGTTTTTACAGCTGGATGGATATAAGAATAATGGATCTCTATTACTCATCCTGGTGCCAGCATTTGAATAGCATTTGTTTAAGGTTGAGCAATTTATTTTCCCATTGGGGATATTCCCATAATTATGGAATGTATATCGTGGGTAACTGCCAATATTATCTAGATAATGTAGTATGTACAGAATATATACCGTATAACTGATGATGTTTTCCCATTGACCAGTGAAGGCATTATCTTGAAATACTGCACATGTCCTTGGAATTACATGTATAGTGTCCAAGACCATAAGCTCTAACATGGATTTGGTCCGACTTGAACATGGATTTGGTCCGACTTGTAAACTTAGCACATACCTGGTTACAATGTGACTCAGCTATTTACTACAAAGGTACTTACTTGAAACTTACACATGTCTTCAAGAGACTCCAATGATGGTTTTTGACAATATGGGACACAGATTCAGGACTGGTTAAAATTTTTTCAAGTCTTTGTTACAATCAAGCCAAAAAATAAATGCCACATTAAAGCACAAGAGCGATCAGTAATCACATGTGTCGCCTCATGATGGCCAATTTCATGTTGGGACAAATTTTGTGACAGACGGACAGACAGACGGACAGTGCACAACTAGACTAACAACTTTGTACTGATCATCCCTGTAAAGTTTGGATAAAATTGCACCAGTAGTTTATGAGGAGTAGTCCGGACAAGCTTTTGCGTATCTGGCAACACACAGAAAAAAACACCTTTTTATCAAAGGGCCATAACTCAGCCAAAAATCATTCAACCGGAAAACCCGTGCAATATGCGCAAGGACTTGAGCTACAGATCAATCCTGAAAAGTTTCATTGAAATTGCATAAGTGGTATAAGAGAAGTAGTGTGGACAAACTTTAAAAATAAAAATTATTAAAGGGCCATAACTCAAACAAAAATCATTGAACCGGAAAATGCTGACAATATGCACAACTAGACTTGGTACTGATCATTCCTGTAAAGTTTGGATGAAATTGTACCAGTAGTTTATGAGGAGTAGTCCGGACAAGCTTTTGTGTATCTGGCAACACACAGAAAAAGAAACCTTTTTATCAAAGGGCCATAACTCAGCCAAAAATCATTCAACCGGAAAACCCGTGCAATATGCGCAAGGACTTGAGCTACAGATCAATCCTGTAAAGTTTCATTGAAATTGCATTAGTGGTATAAGAGAAGTAGTCCGGACAAACTTTAAAATTAAAAATTATTAAAGGGCCATAACTCTGACAAAAATCATTGAACCGGAAAATCCTGACAATATGCACAACTAGACTTGGTACTGATCATTCCTGTAAAGTTTGGATGAAATTGCACCAGTAGTTTATGAGGAGTAGTCCGGACAAGTTTTGTGACGGACGGACGGACAGACGGACAGACAGACAGACAGACAGACGGACAGACGGACAGACAGACGACGGAGAAGTGATCCCTATATGTCGCCACTACTCCGTAGAGGCGACACAAAAATTACATTGAATTTGACAATTTTCAAAGTTTAAATCAACACGATAAATTGTCACAGTTTGATGGTTAAATTCACATGATAACCTGACATTGTCTGACTTTCAATGTCACAGATTTATTTGTTACAGTTTTGACATTCAATGTTGCCTGCTTAGTTGTCACAGTGTTACATACTTTTCACAGTTTGCCAAACAATGTTACATTATAATATGTCACAGTTTGACAATATCACACTGATAATTTTCACAGTTGGACAAATAAATATCACATGAAAATTTGTCAGTTTGTTGGTCAATGTTACATCAGAATTAGTCGGGCTTGAGGGTCCAAATACCTGTTACCTTTTTTTTACTTAACACATTGAAATACACAATTCATCTATGCTTGTAAATAACTTATATTTTTAACTTATATTCATTTGTTAATTTAGATTTAATCAATAATAAACACCATAATAACTGTTTACCTTTTATTTCAGTGCAATATTTATTTTATTTTTTGCACATATAAATGGTAACAACACATATAATGATAATATTTTATCACTAAACAATAATCATTTATATTTCTCTCTTTCCAATAAACATATACTAGTATACATCTGAGAAGGAACACGATAATTTATATCAAAAGCCCGAAATGTAAGTAGTTGTAAAAAAGATTGTATTTCAAATAACTTACAATTTTTTTTATAGATACCAGTCTGATATAGGTACATGTACTATTAAATACATAGACTGTGTACCATGATTTCTATAAAATGCTCATTTACCCTTGGATATTCATGTAGATAACTATTTAAAACTACATGTATATCTCTTTTTTAACAACAATTATGTAATTGTATTACTTAAAAAAATGTTATTTTCAATAAAATCAATATACATGGATTTTATATGAATTAGTTATATGAGTAAAAAATAAACAGAATTATTTGACACAATAACACCTTTATGTAAGTATTCATTCACTTCACTAACATACTTTTCATGTCAAATGTTTCAAACACTTAAAAGTGTGTCCCAGGTTGTTAGAATGTACTTTTATTTATTACATGTAACTCGAGAAAAGAATTTATACACAAATGTACACATTATTCTAGAGACTCTAATTTAACAAACCTAAAATAATGTACCAATATATTGGAACTGAAAACTTTTTAAAAACAAAATTATACTTTATAGAAGCAAATTTATGAAGTATTTTGGCAGTAAATTAATGATTTAATGTAAAGCAATTCTCACTGATACAGTCAGAACCCATTTAAATTATTCTTTATTATAAAAAATATTGAAGCTTTAATGCTGCTTTTCATGGTTAATATTTCAGAATTTTTGTTTAGACCTTTAATAAGAAAGTGAATTTGTAAAATAACAATTTGAAATATTTACAATCTTTTGTTTTTTCTTGCTTTTTTCTGAATCATGAAAGATGCCCATATTTTTTTGTCTTACAGCTCTATCAATATTTGTCTGATGTCAAATTTTAAATCCTAAATCAAAAGTTCATTCGCAAGATAAAACAATTTATTAAATTTAAATGTAACATAATAAATTACAATAAAAACCTGATTACTTTTTTAATTATTAATTTCGCTAAATTCAAAATTAACACAAAGTCAGTAACCAGTATGAGAAATAAATGAAAATAATTGCAATAACAAATTAATATTATTTCGGATATTAAAACTACTCTTGATCATGTAAAAATTGTTCTTCACTTTCCTGTAACACGGCTTCTGTACTAGCTAATTCCACCTGTAAATACAAACAATATAGAAACATGTACCTTTATCCAATTAACAATTGTTTATATTACTTCATTTGGTTTACTGACATCACATTTGACTTCATATGATGTGTAATCATTCCTTTTTAAAAATACTTCTCCGCTCAATGTAGTTCAACATATTCTTTTCTCAATTCTCTTTAATTAGCATGTTCAAATTCAATTAGATTCCTGCACATTTGAAACCAAAACCATGCATTATTCTAACAACAATGCACTCCAAATTGATATCTATTTTCCTAAAAAAAAACCCAACATTAATTAGATTATAAGATAATTGATTTTCAATTTACACTGTTCACAAATTTGAATAAAACCTGTTGTAAGAATTCTTAATATTTTGACTTATTTAATGACTTATTCAATATAACTTGTGACATTGTGATGTAAAAATATAAATGTTCATACCTTTGGTATAGGGTACTGTGTGGGTTCTGGGGCACTGTTTCTGTCAAAATCTTTCATGGTACCACAATTGGCTATATCATCTACCCAAACACCTTCATACAATTGTCCATGGGTGAGGTAATAAAATTTCCCAGGTCCGTTCTTTTTATCATCACGCCATGAACCCTCGTATCTGTTTTCATTTGCTGTAAGGAGAGAAATTTCTTTTCAATATTTGCTGTCTTATTTTGAGGGGAAAAAAAAATATAAATATGATATTGCTAAGTTGACTAACATTATAGTCAAAATCTCAGTGAGTTAAAACTGCATGCCGTCAGATGAATAAACAAATTGTAAAAAATAAAATTTATGTTATGTTATATCACTATTTCTACCAAGTGAATAATTATATACTGGATATTTATCAAACATTTTCCAAATTTTCATAGAATTAGAATAAATCTGGAAAGTTAAAGTTTAAATATGCGTGACATCTTTATTTTCTTTAGAGAAATTGTAAGAATATCATGCAACACAATGCTTAGTAGAAAGTCCCTAGGGAATTATTTGATAGAATCAGATAGTATTTATACAACCTCTGTTGAGATGATATCAGCTGGTAAAGTGTTCTTGTTGATGAATAATTAACAACTTCAATGCCTTATAGTCTAATCCTTATAGAGATTGGCTAATTGCTTATTTAAGATGCATGACAGATATCAGATGAGCAAAATGAGATGGTTCCAAATAATCAATATTTCAATATCAATGCTTAAAACAAAAGATATGCCAGCAATAGTAATTGAAATTATTCAGATAATGAAAAGCAGAAGTCTACACATGTATATTAAGATCCTAAAATTGAATAAAATCTTGATTTTAAAATGATGTACTTGTACTTTTATTACAGATTTTGTCTATGGATGCTTAGAACAACTGTCTAAAGATAACCCTTTGGCTGTGTGGCTGAGAGGTTAATGTGAGAGGGGCAAGCCAATTTGTTTCCTTCAGCAAGAAACTTTAACAATCATCGCTTTAATAGTTAGTTCAGGAAACAGATAAAAAAGTGTTTCAATAAGCTTTTATCTTCAAAACCAACAATTCAAACTAAAATAATTAAGATAAAAATAAAAACTGAAAAAGCTTACGTAAATTACCTCAACATTCTCCTTGCTCCTTACGTTTGTTAATGCAAATACCACTCGCCCTCGTATTATTTTTCCATCTTTGTAAACATTCTTCCCCCCACTTCCACTTCATTGTCTATCCAATTCCATTCCCTTATTTAATATCCTATCTGTGGTTAGAAATTTGTCCCATAACCCTGAACAAAAAATAAAGAATCTTTTTCAGAGAGCCCATTTATTTTTGCACTGATGTATTTTTATGTCTAACAGCTGTATTTCCATGATTTACTGTGTCATTTTGTTCAAGGGAAACTTAAGTTTGTCCTCTTTTACGACATCAGAGTGCACATTATGCAGGACAATTTAATAGCAAACAACTTTTGCTAAACAAACATGAATGCAAATGCATTGAAATCACTCACGAGTGCTTACCTGTGAATGCCTTTTAATGTGCAAATTTTCACTGATGACTGTTAAGTTTAATAAAATCACTTCTAATCTACGGTACCATATCATTTAAGACACAAACAGCTTAAATGATAAAGAAAAAGATTTATACAATGTAAATTATGAAAACGTACATGTCTCATGTCATTTTTCCAGCCACCAGAATATTCTTTAACAAATGCTCCTTTCTTTTTGGTGTCAGGTCTACTGTATGTACCAAAACCATTTCTTTTTCCTTTCTTCCAATCTCCATCATAGATTGTGCCAGTCTCCTTCCATTTGTATGTTCCTTTACCTAAAATGTAAAGAAAAATAAGCAATGCATGGCAAGTGATACCTTAAATTTTATGCAGGGAATTCCCCTTCATGTTTAAACCCTTGATATACTTTAAAAATACTGACATCCCCAAAAAATGTTCTTTTTATAAGTTTTTATACAAATTTGTTTAGGAAAAGTCGCTAAGAGGGGAGATAAAACCCATTTAAAAAAAATTAAACCAAAATTCTTTACCCTAGTAAATTAATGGGCTAACTTTGTAACGTTTTTGGGAGAAAATCAGGGCAGCATGACTTAGACTCAAACATGTGACCTTTGCAATTCTTTCCTCAGATCTACATACGGTACTGACTGAGCTCCTCAGCTAGATACACATCTTCTCAATTTATCAACAAATCAATAACATGTCATAGCATGGTGGTGGAAAAATGAGGAACATACATGTATAGATCTAATTTCTATTTTTTCTCTCATGATTTATTTTATACATGTAATGTTAAAAAGATTTTTTATAATTTTAAATTTCCCATAAAGAAGGGTAAATACAAATTTAAATTCCACAGACCCCTATTTCTTACCGTCCCTTTGATTTTTTAGCCATTCTCCTGGGGTTTTATCCCCGTTTAAAAATAAAAATGTTTGAACATTCCTTTTTTTTTGTGCTTTAATCGTTTTTCTTTTCCCTTTAAAAATTTTTAAAATTTTGGGTTTTTTTAACATTGGCAATTTTTAAAATTTCTTTAAAATCAAACGAAATTTAAACCGGGTTTTGTATTGATTCACAAACACTGATTTTTAAACCCCTGTTTTTTTTATTTTTTTTTCTTACCTAAAACCGGAAATTTAAACTTTCTTAATTACAAGGGAAAATCCAAATTCTTTTTTTGCGCCCTTTTTTTGATGTAACAATTTTTATTTGACAGAAATCAAATCGTATCGATTTATTCAGAGTAATACATAAACACTTACAATATTGTCACATATATCAACATGCATATATAAAACACAAAAAATACAACAAAATATTTATAAAATTAATTAGTATGTTTTATCTTATCCTAGGAATGCCCATATTTTAAGCTAAAAGCTTATTTCCAATAGGGTCCATTTACTACTACAATATTATCACTCTAACTTATATCATAATAATAAATGAATTATTAAGAAGTTGAAATAAATGAAAAATATTGACACAACTTCAATTTCTGAAGAAAAAACCAATAAATCCAAATGTATAATAAACAGTTGTATAAAGCATAGTTTATAGAGTTTCTTCCCTAAAAAATTATTCAAAAATTGATTTAAAATTTATTTTGAATAGCTATATACAATACCATTAATTATTATGCACTTAAGTGCATATGATTAATTTTAAATAACTGTATAAAGCACCATATGCACTTAAGTGCATTCACCTTGGACTATGGATTTTAAACATGTACACACAGATTGAAAAAGTATATCTACTTTAAAATTAAAATAAGAATATAATTGTATACACCATTATAAACCTGATATCACCAACAGTTATGTTTTATAATGTGTCATGCATATTAAAATTAATTGTGGCCTGATCTACTAACCTAGATCTATATGTTTTGCTTACGTTATCATGTTAGACAGATGGTTCAAAAACCGTCTAGATTTGAAACGTAACAGGATTACAAGCAGTAATTAAGCAGTAATAGTACTTCTGAACACTATTGCTTACATTACTGTTGTAATTTGTTATTTCATGTTCATTATTCCAGTCCACGTCGGTACAATTGAAAAAAGAATTTGTAACAGAATTACCAACGTCCCCGCCTCAGAGAAGTTTTATATGAAGCATAAAATTATGCTTTTTAAAAAATAAAGATTCAGGTATGGATCTCAGGACTTTCAGTCCAAAATTATGACCAATGCTAGATCTGCAAATGCATCAATAAATTTATTAAAGAATCATCATGTGAAGCTTTGACTTCTAAGTGTGACCTTGACCTTGGAGGTAGGGATGCAGGTGTTGTGCATGTATACATATCGTCTTATTATTGTAACTATTTGTGCCAAGTATTTTCAAAATCCCTTGAACTATGAAGAAGTTATAGATCGGTTACAAAATATACCCTCTAACAGACTATGTTAATTTTTGACCTCTAAGTGTGACATTGACCTTGAAGGTAGGGATGCATGTGTTGCGAATGACACATCGGCTTATTATAGTGACTTTTTGTTCCAAGTATTTTCAAAATCCTTTGATCTATGAAAAAGTTATGGACCAGACATATAACAGACTATGTTAATCTTTGATCTCCATGTGTGACCTTGATTTTGGAGGTAGGTGGCCGGTTGTTGTGCATGACACATCGGCTCATAATTGTGAACAATTGTGGCAAGTATTTACAAAATCCCTTCAAAGATAAGAAAGTTATGGACCGGACATGACATATACCCTCAAATAGACAAAGCTGACCTTGAATGAGCAAGTGCGACCTTGACCCTGGAGGTGAAGTAGGGGTCTGGTTGTTGCGCATGACAAATCGTCTTATTATAAAAAACATTTGTGCCAAGTTATCTCTAATTACTTTGATAAATAACAAAGTTATGGACCGGACACGAAAGTGTGACGGACGGACAGACGGATGGAGCCTATTTCTATATCCATCTTTTTTCTTCGAAAAGGCAGGGACAATATCTCATTCCTAAGCTTTCGTTTCATGACTGTCTAACTACATATATTTTTATTTGAAATACCTTAAATTATCTAATTTATTTTACACGCATTTTAATATACTGTAAGTTATGACAAACAAGATCTATGTTCAACATGGGCGGCATTCATTGAACGCAATCCCCACACGACACAGCAACACAGGACTATTGGCAAGGAGACCAACAGGACACACGGCAAAGCACGGACGAGGTGATTACTTTAATAATATAAAATAGGAAAAATAGAAATAACAGGAATAGGAAATTGTAAAAGAAGACGATAATTGTGAAACTTGTATATTTGTGTGTTGTTTTTTTAATCAGAATAAAATCATTTAATCATATATTGATGTAAAGTTCCATTAGAACCTCCTTTGAGATCCATTTTTTATAATAAAATGTACGACTGTCAAGTGAAATTTTAAATACGTATAATATAATATCAAATACTTAATTATTCCGATATAAGTTGCATAGGTATCAATCACATAAGCCCTTAGAAATGGTTGTTCCCTCATTTTACTAAAAATCCACGATGAAGCTCTTGCCCTATTCAAACTGAATACGTCGCGAACACTAGTCTTGTAATCTTAGTCTTCACTGAGCCAGAGAAAGGTATAAAAACACCGTAGATAATTTAACACAGCCAAGTGCTACAAAGAATCCAAAATGCATTTTTTGCGAATAACTAAATTTATTTCAGAAATTCCAATAGAAGCTCAAGTTCCAGTTGATAATGTTTATTTTAGAAACAATGTTTCTTTACATAAACTTATTGAACCATGTACATGTATATCTTTGATAAATATAATTTAACGTCAATATTAGGTGACACGCATGTACCAAAATAACTTTACTATTTTACATTCATTAATAAAAGTCTCATCTTTACATGTATACATATTACATACATGTATATAACGTAGGATACTAACATAAGATACACGAAAAGGCATTCTAAACAGAAATACTAGAGACTGTTGACTTTTTGCTTTTAAGTTCTTACTAACTATTCAAACGAATGAATGGAGTTTATAATGATTTAGTTATCATAAGACTCATCTTAATGATAACTGTGAGTATCTATCAATGAATCACTACCACACCCATAATCTTTCACAATGAAAATGTTGGTTGGAATGCATTTTGCAACTACCTGAAAAAAATGCTACTTCCCGAAAAAGGTGATACATGTATAAAGTGTAGATACTTTTCTTGACAGATCTTTAACACACCAAGTAAAATATTTTAAGCAGGATCTTCAGGAATATTTTTCTGCATTTATACCAATCACACTAATTGAAATAACTTTTATTTGGATGCCTGTGAAGTTTAGTTATCAATAAACCTTCAACAACTAGATTGCATATTGTACTTTCTGAAACTACAATCATTTAAAGAAAATACTTAAGTTGTCTTTACCCTATTTTCAAAACTTCTGAGTATATTGAAAATTGTATCAATATTTGAAATATCTCTGGACAAAAAAAATAAAACAATTTTTTATTTTTTTTAAAGGAGAACTATCTGCATATTTCAAATTTTAGGGGAGGAAAGGGAGGGGTGGACGTCAGTGTAGGGAGAGAATTATAGTCTGTCAAGATTTCAAGATGTATTCAATACTGCCATCGTTCATAAGAACATGTGACATTAAATACAAGGTTGTGAACATGTTACAACCAGAACACAGAAAAATATACATAAAACAGAAGAATGAGTGACAGTTATATTTTACCCTTAAAATAAAATAAAGATATGACTAGATTCCCATTAATACACAGACAGACAGACAGATACCTTTATTGATCATCAGGTTACATGTGTTACATATAACAACATGATGTGAAAATACAAACATACATATTTTACAAAACTGGTGGAAAACAGGGTATTTGATAAACATGTGGATTGAGTCAACATTATTATAAGTTAAATAATCTCATAATTATATAGTTATTGCAATTGTTTTCCTAACATAAGGGGGAGACTATCAGAAAAATGCTAGACTAATCGACAGGGTGCAAAATATAGAAATTTAAGGTTCTAAATTTAGAAACAGTGTTTACTACATTTGTAGTAAATTAACGGTATGACAGTTTTTATGAATGGGATAAATCCCACGGGAAGCATGATTATTAGCGGGAACATATTTATTACTAAACTTTCATTGGCTACAAATCCTGTCGTGTGAACAAGGGCAGTGTTACAAATCTACATGTATTTATATCTATTTAATCGGAATATCTTTCACTGGTGAGTTTTTGTTTTATTTTATTTTTCTATCAATTACAAACTACTGAGTATTTGTTACTTTTAATATGTATGATATTAACCTACAAAGACCCTTTAGTGCGACTTCATTATTTGAGTTCAGTAATTGACTATATTTGATGATATTTGGTCTGGAATAGAAATATGAATCTATATTATTTTCCCTCGATTGTATAAAACGTTTGCATACGAGGAGAGTATGGAATTCGTCACCTAAATCAGAAAAACAATTTAGACATTTCCTATCATTATAATTGACATAGCTATTCCTCCAACGGCCAGTTTCGATGGGAAGTTTATGATTTGCTGTTCTAAATTTCAATAGTTTCAGACCTTGGTTCATTGGTAAAATATTAAGATATTTTTCAAATGTTAGTTCCGTTTTGAAAAGGGCATAATTTTTTCCCTTTGATGAGTTCTGCAGTTCTGACGACCACTTTTGAAAATATTGATTTAATAATGTTTCTTTAATAATTTTTGCTATGCTATTGCTAGTAATAGTTCTCTGTTGCAGCCACAAGTATGAGTAACCTGTCTCGTTAAAAATAGTGTAAACATGTTTCATCCATTTAAAGGCCTTAAAATCATCTGCGTATAACATTGCTTCATAGCATAACGATGATATTTTATTATCTTTTTGCGTAATAAGTTTATTCCAAAATGTGATCATTCTCGATTTAATTGTTATTTCTATAGGATAATAACCGAAAATTATGGTTCGTTAACACAATTTTTTAGGAGACTGATGATACAATATTATACTTATTATTTGCATGTTGTAATTATTTCTTTACAAAACAAACCAAGGTTTTTATAATAATACGGTTTAATAAATTTAGTCTATTAATAACAAAATGTGAACAATGAAGGAGATAGTGAAATTTGTAACTCACATAAAGTTTATATAAGTAAGTTTATCTCTATACTGTATTATGGGAATCTACCTATCTTATGTAGAGTATGGTTTGGATTGAATATACGACCAACTTTGACTGTGTGTTTAATATTTATTTTGATGATGTGTAAATGAAACCTATAAAATGAATAAACAATTATAAATACATGATATACAAAACACAAATTAAAATACAAATTTAATATGAATATTATTTTAACATTTTATATTTTAAACAATTTTAATTATTTTTGATTATTTAATTTATACATTTTATTACATTTATTTTAAGTAATTTAAAGTAAAACATATTTTACTAGGTGCAACAGGCTGACCTTTGTTATATAAAATTATAAATATTAAATTTGTTTTATAAACAACAAACGTCCTTTAAGTTGATTTATATAAAGACAATATTTATTAATGTTTTATGAAGAACTACTGCAGTTAACTTTACAATGCAAAGTTTGAAAATGAGTTTTTAGAAAAGGAATGTAAATTGCCCATGCATAAAATAATATAAAATTACTTTTATTTAATTACATTTTTACTTAACAAATATACAAAATATTTATTAAACATTACTTAACAACACAAAACATAACAAAAACATAACAAAAAAAACAGTTTACTAAGTATAGTAACTTACAACAAAAACAAAACATTACCCATAATTTTTATAATAATAAATAAAAATAATGTTTTGTAATTATGCCTAAATAAATAAAAATGTACAGTTAGTTATTCACTACAGTACTGGTCGGAAACTGTGTTTGTAAATATAAAATAAGTATACAAATAGGCAGTAAATTAACCTTATTTACACTTAATTGGCATTTTATGATTCATACATCTAGATTTTAACAAAACCCAATACATTTGCCAATGAAGTATGTTAAAATACATTTGGTACCTGAGGTTGTAGTATCTTTGGGTTCATTAAGGAGAATCAATACTCTCTAGCGGAAGTTCTGGCGCCTATGACAACAATGACGCCTTTTGTGCTTTAATTTGGATATTCTTTTTATTTCCCCCCATTGCAAAACATAATCATGATTCTGCCAGATGAACCTAAAGCACAAGATGTGCCTAAGATTATTCAGGTTGTTGGAATACTCTCTGATAATATGTATTCTGCCCGCAAATGTCTAAACTTTGACAACTCAACTGATTCGCACTCATTTATTTTCGAACTAAGCGAGCCTGCATATTTTAGTAGCTATTTTGTTATATTCTTTATGCTTTTTAGGTCGCACAATGATTTTATCAGGAACTGGCATATGGCTTAAAGTGATTTTTAATCAAATGTTAATTCATTTCATAAGAATACAATAAATAAAATGTTAATGATAATTATAAATGTGCCAACTTTAACTTATAAACATAAATTTACATGTAGAGATTAAGTTAAGATAAAAATAACTTATATCAATTAAAATTTTATTATTTTTTTTGAAGTCAGTCTTCAGTTTAAGTGTTTGTGACCAATTAATTTTGTAAACACATAGTAATAAACACTCATATAGGAGTGATATACCGTAATAAATGTGTTGTGTTTCATTTTAAATTTTGCTACATGTATTGTATTGAACAAAAATTATTCAGAACGCTTTATCATATTACATAATTATTTGAGTGCTGTTCTTGTCTGCATTAAATGTAAATTCTTGCCAATATACAATACCCTGTACAAATAGCATAATTTAATTTCCCTTTTTAAATTTTACAGCCAAGAAATCACAAAGCTAAAGTCAGTGTCTGGTAAGTGTAGCAGCACCTTGATTTGTTTATAAATGCATTAATGAATTTTAATTATTTTTTTGTAATCTTTCAATGCTTGTCAGAAGATGCGCATCATAATTTTATAAAATTCTAAGCACACTTTGAAATGAAAAGTAAAACTTAAGAAAATGATTTGAAAATTAAGTGCTTTACATGAATGTATATGATGATAGTTCTTGTTTTTTGTTTTAGGGCTGATTTGACAGTTGATGACCTGGACAGAATCAATGAGTCATTGAATGCTGACCACATCAAAATGTAAGATTGAATGAAATATGAGCCGCGTCATGACAAAACCAACATAGTACGTTTGCGACCAGCATGGATCCAGACCAGCCTGTGCATCTGCACAGTCTGATCAGGATCCATGCTGGTCGCTTACCAACTCTATTACAAGTAGAGAAACTGATAGCAAACAGCATGGATCCTGATCAGACTGCGTGGATGCGAAGGCTGGTCTGGATCCATGCTGGTCGCAAACCCATTATGTTGGTTTTGTCATGACGTGGCTCAATTATTCTTGCATATCAGACAGAATAATAAACTGTTTACATCGGTGCTAGAAAAACCTGTCTTACACCCCCATGTAAAACAAGTGATAGATGATATCATTGATATTGATGCTGTTTATGAATGAATGGAGTCCTTAAAATAATATCATTTTTCTGTTATGAATGAAATTGTAAATACATATACTGGATAATTATTAATATGTAATATGCAAGAAAAAGAATCAAACACCGACTGTCGTTTCAGACAAATATCTCTCATGTAACTGTTTAGCAGAAACTCAATAGAGCCTTGTTACAGCTGTAAACAGTTATCCTTAAGCTAGATATACAGGCAGCCGGTGTGAGATCCATATAACTTTTACCTTATCTGCTTGCACATTTCAAGTATATAGCCATCATTATTTATGTGTAGTTTTTATACTGACATTATAATATGGTATGGTAATAAAAGTGATGATGTCACAATAAAGTTAAAAATAACGTACATGTAAATATATATGGTTAATAAGCACACAGAAAACGCAACAGCCACTGTCAGATGACTATAGGTTAGGATACTGGACCGCCATTTCAAAGACCCATGGTTTAAAGTCCAGACTGTGGCGTGCCGATTTTTCGTGTGGTTTTTCTCTGTCTAATTTATATTTATTTTATATACATGTACAATGTTTTACTGTTTTCAGGGTTCTTGCAGATATATTTCACCTTGACGACCACAAAACAAGTCTTAAAACTGGTATAGTCATGGATCTGTACTACTACACTCTCCAGTTTGCCAGGGAAAATAAATTTACCAAGGAGCAGACATCTGCCTTTTTCTCCATTGTGAAGAAAACACATGAAATTTGCATAGGTATTACATGTCATTAAAATGATTCAGTCTGATATCAGCTTAAAATGAAACAAATATATTTTTTTTTATTATTTACAGTAATTTGTTGATCATGCAGTTAATAAATTTGGTATTAAACAATAAAATATATGAATGATGAAAAAGTAACAGCTAAACTCTTGTGGTACATGGTTTGACTTGAACCCAGAACCTCATACTTCCAAAGCACAGGTCTGTGATACCATCATAATGGACTGACCTAACTGCCTAAAATATTTACAGAAAGTGACAGACTTTTCTTTGAAGGAAATGATCTTTATTAAGATATCATACCTTAGTAAAAGGAGGGTGTTCAAAACTTAAACTTAATATTTAATTTATATTAAATATTTTAAAATACACATTTCTATTTTCTGAATTTTAGAGACACCATTTGGAAATCTGGATGAGACATTCTCTTTCTTCAAAGAAATGGTATTGTGCCATGCTGTTAATGTGAGTACAAAATATCTGTACCTTTTTTTATCAGTTTCAAAATAATTAACATTGATAATATGTGCAGTTTTTAAAGATTTAAATTTAAAATTTAACCCCCTGCTTTAGCTGAATTAATTTTTTTTT